AGCAACTGGAGTCCAAAAGTGAAAGTATATCACACTTTGTGCAAAGTCAGATCAGTTCTCTTTTTAGGAATGGTTTTATTTTATTAATCTCTTATCATCTGAAGGTTATTGTAAATAAAAAGTAGCAGATATGATTTTTGGGGAGGAGGTGTCTCTGGATCTCCTGCTGCTTTTCTGTTCTACTTTGAAAAAAAAAAAAAACCCAAAAGACAACAAACAAACCAAACCAAAAATCCCACAGTCCCCCCACCCCCTGAAACCCAAACAAAACACAAACCAAAACCAAATCCAAACCAAGAACTCTTTAAAATTAGGTTAGGAATTGAATGTGACAAATCTTCAGTGTGATAGTGTTTAATGCCAGTAAAGATGTCTTTCAATTAGAAATTCCGATTCTTAGTAACTGCAGAAATGCTCTTTGTGTGCTTAAAATGAGATCATCTTTCTTTTCATTAAAGTTGTTCTTGTCAATATGTGAATAATTTGTATATGGTATGGCTGTAAAACTTGGGGATGAGTGGGGAGCGGCAGCTTCATATTTTTAATAATGCACAACACTTTGAAAGTGCTTTTTGGTGGGGGGTGGTGTGGCTGGGAACAGTCACTCTGCTTGATACCAGAGTTGACATAAGTTTGCTAACAGATCTTTAGTGTGTTATGGGTGTTTTAGCTTTCTTTTTCTAAGGCCTGTTACCATAGACCTACGTTTATGGTACAGTCTAAGTTGATTTCCTTAGTTTATACAACATTTTCTGATTTAACAAGGATTTTGCTTCACCTAGGCACAAATGAACAGTAATAGATAGTTTCTGATAGCAAGATGTTGGATTTAACAATTTATTCTATGAAGTAAAATGTCTTACATTGTTTGGTTGTCCTAGAGATGTTGAGTTTAATTCCAAGAATATTTACTCATTTTGTTCTCTTCGCACGCTACAGAGCTGTGATTCTAGTTCATTAGTAGGTAGAATTTAGGTTTAATTTGATAGTACTGAACTAAACATAATGGCTGATTTATATGTTTCATTGATTCATTTCATTGGTTTGCTAAAATTTCTGAAAACATTTTGAGGTTGACAGTAGTGCTTTGTCAAGATGTGGCTCAGGTTATGTGAAATGGAAGATACTGAATATAAGGACTGGGGCAGTTGTTACGTAAGACAGCTACTATGGAAAAAAAACAGTTTAGTGCAGGGAAAGATAACATAGTGTTGGTGTCAGAGTTCTTGTTATTACATCTATTTAGGCCGTTTTTGTGCTGCTTTGCAAAACAGAGGGAAAGATCTTTACCTGTGGAGAATGTCCTGTTTCCGTACTTAACTCAATAAGGAGAGATACAGAGAGTTTGTAGGAAGTTACCCTGGTGCACATGCTGCAGATACTGAACAAATGAAGACCTGTATTCCTTCCTGCAGTACTAGAATTTATTTAAACATTTCATACATGTAAGTGGGGGTTTGCCTGCTTTGTGTTCCGTAAGTTGATAAGCATAAACTGGAAGCTGTGGAGAAAACTGATCTGTAGTGTTGTGTTTTGGGTGGTTTCCTAGTACATAACATTCGAAAATTCAGGATATGGAGCAGGTAAGGTACATGTAAAGACCGTGGTTTGGTGGAGGTTGAAGAGAAAGCATTTGAGGGAAGGTGTAAGGTGGGAAATGGATCTGTAGGTCAGGAAACACAGAGCCGAGTGGGAGGCGACAAAGAGTTTGCCTTATTGAGCCAGCCTTATGATTAGTATGATTTTAATGTAACCAGCTTGCTTACTTGGAGACTGTTCTTCTGTGGCTCTTCACTCCAAGAAGGCTGCTGGTTGGAGTTTAGCTGGTAAAGTAAGGAACATGATGACTTTCTCAGGTGATGGTCAGCTAGGGAGAAGTTGGAAGCTGCTACTGCCTAAAATAGCTATCCGTGTTAACAACTCCATATTAACATTAACTGTGCCTTGTGTGGTATGCTTAAGTGGTCTTGAAGAATCGATAACGCTGTCTTTGTGCTCAGAATTGGAGGTACTTTTAAAACTGCTTCTCCCATAGTCCATTCATCTGTCCAGTATTCGGATATGTTTGGAAAAACTGATGAATGTTGTTTCCGTGTGTTCCTGCAGTTAACTGCAGAAATCATTCTGTAATGCAGCGAGACAACTTTTTTCCTCCTGTTTCTTACTCCGCACTCAAATAGCGTGTAAAAACAAAGGCTATAAAATATGTACTTATGTAGACATTTTATGATTTCATAGTATTACGTGGATTTTTATAGGAGTTAAATGGAAATAAACGAATGCATAATCATGGGTGCAGTGGTGTTTTCCCAGTTTCCACTGTTCCCAGAACTCAGTTGAGCAAATGTAACAAAGAGGGGAGGAATAGCACATGCTGGTACTGTAATTTAAACACATGGTCTGTGAAGCATTGCTGTGCAGTGTTTTTACATCTGTATTATTTTTACCTGCTTTCATTGCTTTGCAAAATTGACCAGCAGAAAAGTGAAAAAATGTTCTCTGGTATGAAGGTTTCTGTATAGTCCGGTATATGTAGGGCAGTCTACTACGTTGTGCCCTGGTGTATAAATAAATAAGTTAAAAAGGAAATAAAGAAGTCTTGCTGCATGTGACATGTTTCTCAGTGGAGCTGAATGTTGGAAAACATACGCAACCAAAGATGCAGTGTGCTTAACAGTACCTGTATTAAATGAGCTGTATTGTGGAAGCTAACATGGCAGTGATACCATTTTAATGCTGTAGTAACAAGGGGTTTCCTGTGCACAAGGGAAAGCTGGCAGTAGTTGCCACATGTAGACAAAGCAGAGCTTTGTTTACTGTTACATTTTTGTACAGGTAACATTCCTGCCTATTTAATGACCCTGCTATAGCGTGTCTGTAAGTCTCTGACCTGGAATTGTATGTGTGTGTGTGTTTAGAGAGGGTGAAATATACACATCTTAAAACTTTTTAAAAAGCCACTTGATGATACCTTCTACCTTATAAGAGAAAGTGCCTTCAATTACTAGAATGTGATGAATAGTTCTACATCATAATTAGTTTGGTGACTACTACCCCATTTTGTGATTTCTGCATTTGTATCTATTCATTCTCCCTTGTTTGAAATGATGAAAGTAGTTACAAAATTTAGTATTTTGGGGGAAAATACCAGCTTTTTGAACATCAAAGAACTTGTTAAAAACATTTAATAGTTGCATAGCTATTTGTTGCTTAGGGCAGGGAGAAAATAATATTCTGTTTTGTTCGTCCGGTTTGACCTGTGATGAGCTCTTCATTTATCACTAGAGCTTTTGGATGTTGTGGTCACACATACACATAAACAAAGTTTGGGATTCATCTCTTCTAATGTCACTGTATTTGACCTGGATAACTTAGGTCCTCTTCTTGAAGGAGAAAATACTGGTTCACCTTCAATATGTTCCTTAAATTGATCAAATGAATTATGTCCTATCAGTGCTTACGTAGGTTCCTTTTGTATTGGTGGAGAGCTAGGTGGCAAGGTCAGGTGTCAGTGTCCACAAAAATGCTGGTGTTGAGGTGACAAATCTGAATTATTTATCCCATCAGAATGTCTAAAATAATACAGTACCAGCTCCTGAACTTGAATATGCTTTAAAATAAGAGAAACTGTGAATTGGGAACAATTGCTGCACAATTATTATTTAATCCCAACAAAAAGATGGAAAATCTACATCCTGACTGATCGTTCAGTACAAATACACATTGATCCACCAAGATACTTAGAGCACAATGCAAGACATGGGTACAAAGCAGAGGTGTGAGTTGGAGTACCTAGTTTTGAACTCAGATCACCCTTAGAACTTATATTGCAGATTTAAATGTTGTGGTTTTGCTGAAGTAAATGAAAATGGTCATTCCATGTAATCCAGAAAAAAGTAACTTCAAGGATTGTTAACATAAGGAAAGAATGGTACCAAGGTAGCGATGCATTGGATTCTAACTGAGAACAATCCTACTTGAATATGAGTTTTATACCAGTTCTAAATGAATCGATAACAAACTTTTTTTATCAACGCTCAGTGTGTATTAGTAGTTTTATTTTTGTCCACATGTACTTCTTGGAGTAGTGTTGCTTAATGGTATCAAGATAATGTTGATGCTTGTTAGGAATAGCCTGCATTCGTTATTCATTAACAAAACATGCTAATCGCATACTCAAAAGGTGAAGTAATCATTCATTACACTTCTGTATTTTCATTGAATTGAATGCTTTTGTGAATGACAGCGCTGAATGTACTTTCCAGTCTTTTCAGAGTAATCTAAGCTGCCAAGGTTTTGTAATTAGGTTCTGCAGAGGGCTGGCTGGGTTACTCGGCTGTCCAGCTGTCCTCATCTCTTCACGTGAAGTTGAAAGGCACATCGCTTCCATATTACTGCTCTAGTGCGACTGGATACTCAAATTGCCACGGAGAGAGTGTTCAGTTGTCAGTGTTGAGGGGGAATAGTCCATCAGAGAATCCGAGGATGTGGGCTACGCACAGAAAGTTTGGGAAGACGAATAATTACTCACTAGGCAGTTCATTACAACTCCCTAGACACTGAATGTGAACTCATCATGCCAAGTTACTGGACTGTGCTTGAGATTCCATACATAACTGGCTTGGTTTGAAAGACTTTGAAGTCACATTTAAACATGTCAAGTGACTAATCAAAGAGAAAAGGAAGAGAATGTTTAGTTCATGGGTACAACATCTAGTTATGGTACAACAGTCTAACTTAGGATGGTCATGTTGAGTCTTATCTTACCGTTGCTCTAGCTCTGATCGCCATGGCTGTTTGTTGGGAAAATGGTGGTGGCCAGAGTAAGGGTTTGAGAATCTGACATACCCTGATGCTTGGAAAGAGTCCGAGCAGTTCGTGCTTGGTTTTGACTGTGACTGCTATTGGCAGGCTTAACCTTTTGTTGTTAAACTTTCTGTGCTCGCGGGTCCTTGTTGTGAATGCATGACTGTCCTAACTCTGGCTTTGTTTTGTCTTAGTCACATTGATCAAACAACAACATGGCAAGATCCTAGGAAGGCCATGCTTTCCCAGATGAATGTTACAGCTCCCACCAGTCCTTCCGTGCAGCAGAACATCATGAACTCAGCATCGGGTAAGCAAAATTGGTATTTATGAAAAAGATGATACAAATGAAGATAGCACTAGCTGTTTTGATCATGGGGGAGGGAGTTCAAATCTCATAATTGTCCTTCTGGTTTTAAACTTTAAATTTGTTGATACCTGATGCGTCAAGCAAGAGGCTGATACTTGAGGTAAGAGAATTTGTATAATATTTATGATGTCAGCAGAAAGTATCCTGTAGATCTTTGGCTTGTGTTTCTATTTTTTCAAATGGATGATTCAAACATTTAAGGAAGCAAAATTTTTTGTCTTGAATTCTTCTGACTGAAAATGCTGTTAAATTTATGAAGATCAGAATTTCCATTAAATTAGTATCAATTTGCATTAAAGCTGTGGTGCTTCTGCAGTGTTCTTCTGCCTCCCCTTGCTCACTTCCCAGACTTGGTATACTCCCAATCATTTACAATTCCTACATTTGTTATAAACATCTGATTTTTTCCTGTCTTCCCTAAATGAATAAAACAAACACCTGGAAAATATATTTTCCTATCACTTCCAAAATCCTGTATCATGATGATTATTCCTCTAGCTGAGGAAGTCTGATAGCATTTCCTGGAATAAAGAATTGTTTTTCAGCTAGTCTGGGGGGGCCGTTGCTAGACAGCAGTAAAGTGTGCTTGTTCTTGCTATAGAATCTGCTGTATATTTTCAGACCTCTCTCATCCTGATGGTGCAGAGAGCAAGCAGATAAATTTGGTGCTGTGCTAGTCTGACTGCTGCTCTCATACCTATGCTCTGTCACCTTCTGTCTGTTGCTGAGGTTCATGTTTTACTTATTTTCTCACAGTCTGATTGTATTTTGTGTATGTCTGCTGTTCCTGTATTTCACAAAGGTTATTCTTTGGTGCTGCTTTTTGTTGTCTGTTACGACAGCTTTGTTTCATGCTGCAATTCATAGGCTGCAGACAATACCAAAAGATTAACAGGCGTGACCAAACGGTGCTGTTCATGACTGAGTGTTAAAGGGGAAGCAAATCAAACTTTTTGCTGGCTCAGCCAGGAGGTTGGATTATCCTGAAACATGAGAGTCCTGTTCAAGTTCAGGAAGTAATGCTTCAGAGCAGTTAAGGTCTCAGGCTCTGATGTGAAAATACAGTATCTGTGATTATTTTTTCTGTAAATATATCCCAGGAAACGTGCAGCAATAAAGTTGTCACGTTTTTGCAGGGACACTTCTCAAGAACAGAGTATAGGAGAAAAGAAACAATTCCTTTGGTCTCTCTTGCCTTTTGGATTATCTTATTTGTGCTAAAACTAGATGCTTGCCATTTGAATATTAACATAAATTCTGTGGTTTAAGATAGCTCCTCAAACCTTCCATTGTACCAAGAATTAACAGGAAAAAATATTGTTAGTGAAGTAGGATTTATTATATGTACCTAGAACTGAAGCGTCCTTAGCAAAAAAATAAACTGGTTAGTTGTAGGGGGTAAAAATCTAAAAGATAATATAGCAATCAGTACATGAGGATTATTTCTAAAAGAAAATCAAGAGTTTACATGTAATTGACTGATACAAGTGTGAGCAAGTGATCCTGCATAGATACTGTTGCTCATGCAATAAATACAAGTTGAGACATTTAAGTGAGTTGTCCTGTGACTTGAGAAAGCACTTACTTGAATATAATTTCATTGAACATTTATTTTTAATTTCACAGGTGATACTGTATTGAATATGAACTGAAAATCTTGTAGAGTTTTTCTTTTATCCCCCTGTGCTCTGAATTTGATGAAGTGCAACTTCTGTGTATATTGAGATATGTGTTTTCATGGCATTGCTTTTTTTAAGCTTATATCAGTTGAGGTAGTGTGACTTGGAACTGGCTCTTTGGATGCTCCTGCTTACCCTGAACTTACTTGCATTTAACAAAAGTCTGTTTTTAATTAAATAGTACTGAACCTGCATTTATTGGATATGATTCTGTTTCTGATAACTGATTTGGCAAATCTTTCTGTACTACAAATTATGACTGCATATTTGTTTTTACTAAAGTCGCTAACAGCTGGTTCTGTTACCACAAACTCAGTAGTAAAAAAGTAACTTACGCTTCCTTGGTGGCCTCATAAAGAATCTTTGAAAGAAGTGGAAAAATGAAGTAACTGTGTGCCACTTCAGCGCAGTGGAACTTAAATCTGAGTGCTAACGTCATAAATAGAAGACTACTTAATGTTCTAATTTGTATATTCATCCTCAAGAACTGGAAATAAAGATGAGAAAATTAAGACAGAAGTTTCCTGTTATGAAATATTGCTGGCAATGAAACATGCCCTAGTGCTTTGAGAGCCTTTTGTGAAAGATAACTGGGAAGAACCAAGTGTACGTATTGTGACAGCTGGAGGTCACTGACTTGCAAAAAAAAATAGCTGAAATGCCACAAGGGAGAATGTTTTCCTTTCTGTACGGTTCATCCTTGTATAGTGCTCATTGATTGTAGCCTTTAATCAGAAGTTACTGTCCAAGTTTTAGTAGATTTAAGTACAGACTGCAATAGGCATTTGTGAGTAAAGTTGCTCTAGTAAAATGTGGGAGAAGATTTTTTAGGAGCTGTCTTGAAAGCCATTAGATCTTTAGCCATTTAGCCAGAATTAGAATTCTAGCCATTAGCTAGAATTAAGAAAACAAACTGAACAGGGAGAGAGAGAACACAGCTCAGAAACCTGCTGTCTGCGTGTTGAAGATAAACCTGTTGTCTGTCCTGGATGAATAGGACAAGTGGAGCTCATGGAAAATGGGAAGAAAGGAAAACCAAAAGTTGTGATAAGGACGAAGGCAAGTCAACAGAGTGTTTAAAATAAAAGCAGGGAAGATGTAGGCTAGCATGATATTGAGATTTTTACATTGTTTTTCTTAAGAAATCCACCTCTTGAGGCAGCTGAGACTGGAGGAGAATCCAGGTATCTTGCTGCAAGTTATATTTCTTTAAGGAAATGAATAGGCTTCTGAACTAGCTTCATCTGTTCCCGACATGATTTTGTGAATGAACTATTTCAGGACTGTAGGTAAGCATACATCCTTTACAGGAGGGCATCGGTGTGTGAAAAATGAGGAATTTTTTTCCTGCCTGTTTTGGTTCTTAGATTTTTTTTTTTTTTTTTTTTTTTTTTTGTCTCATTCTTACTGAACTTTATCTTGCTGTGTGTAATCAAATGGTTTGGGCCATATGTATGCAGAGAAACACAGTACTCGCTTAGAAGGTATTTGTTGGTTAATCTTCTGTGAAGTAGGATTGCATCTTCACATCAATAATAGAAAACAAGCCCGTTACTTGTAAATATGCAACATGTATATAAAAATTAGTCTTGACTATTCTGATTTTGTGTGTGTTTCTAACCATTTTTCCCCTAAAGGTGTTACAGGAAAAAGTATGTTCCTTCTTGATTTTAAAAATTAAAAGAAAAAAAAGTAGTAATAATGGTACGTTGTTCTTCTGAGAAACCTCTCCTATTTGAGGTAAAGTTATAAATTTGAAAGTAAACATGCCTGTTTCCTATACAGTGACAGTGGATGTAACAGAGATAGGGTAGTAATTGTATTTATATACTTCCATTCTTCAGATTCTTTTACTTCCTGAATCATGCTTGACAGCACTGCTTACTTCAGTCTCTTCTGCTTGTGCATAGGCATTAGCTCTGGGTTAGCTTTGGAGCAGATTAGTTGTCTTTGTCCTGTTTTGTCTTCTCTCTTACATTGCAGTTTTGAATTGGGCTTCCTGGTGAAAGTTTGTAGACCTGGTGCAATTCCTATGCCTCTTGGGGTAAGGCTGTAGTGCCACGTTAAAAGTTGGTAGGAAAATGGACGCTTGATTTCATAACTCTTGAGGGTTTTTTCCCTCTCCTTGGGAAGCTGGAGGATAGGGAGGAATATGCTAGTAACTAAAACAAGTTCTAGCTCTTCTTTTAGGTTCTTGCTCACTTCAGTTGCAGAATTCTCTTCTGTGTAACCAGTCATACTACAAATTCTGCTTTGTGTACAGTCAACGCTACGTGTGATCTGTTGTGAAACTCCAGTTTCTAAGTATCTGCATGACAGTAATGCTCCTTTCTTTCTTCATCTGCAAAAAATGCTTCTTTTTTTTAATAGTGTATTTTTGTAAGTTTTACTGATTTGACAGAATAAAGGTGGACTTCAGGTAAATTTTGTAGACTTTGATATCACTTTTAAAAGTTTTGGAATTGCAGTGACAGTGATTGAAGGGAAAAATACGAGCTTTCACAAAGAAAGGTTAGGAAGGTTCTTAGAGATCAGTGTTTGTATTTGTATCCAGTTCCTAGGTTGTCCATGCATATTCGTTTAATATCTAGATACAAATGCCCTCTAATATGCATTAACCTGGTGATAAAATACAGCTTTATTTACATTCATTTTGCAATTTTTAATCAGAAACTGTGGGGACTTGTAAGATTTACTTTGTATTCCAGCATAGCTTGAATCTATGCTACATTTTTGCTTTTGTTACTCTTTCTGCTGCTTTCCATCTGCCAGCGGTGAGCTCTGCTTTGCCTTCAAGACTCTGCGTTTCATGGCAAAAATGGCATATTGAGAAAGTGAAAACTCACCAAAAATGGAGACATGCACCAGAAATACGCACACAGACTTTTAAAATTGCGTGTATTTATGTTAAGTCACGGCATTATGTAATTATTTAGTTGCAGAGGTATGCCTTATCAGTAGTTCTGTAAGGATGGCTTACGTTTGGAAATTGGAATCTAATTTTTGGATATCCTTGTCTTTAGAAGTACCACAGTAAATTATGAGTTCCCAGAAGGGTTGTTTCTCGCTGTGCAAATAATGTCATAGAATGGTGAGCTTATGGTTGTGATTGTATTCAGTTGACCTATGAGGCATGAAGCAGAACAAGTAAGAGACTGTGTCACAAGGATGGTGTTGGTGCTAAATGTTTACAAAGGTTCAAGGGCAGACTGGAAAAGTACTTGAAAGAGAGATCCTTTGGCACCTAGTAAGTAGACAGAATTTCGCCCAAGAAATCACCTGAGGTACTTGGTGGCCAAGTGACTACTCATAGCCACTATATTTTGGGGGTCTATGTGTGTATTCAGTGCTTTGTTTAAAAGCTTATAGAGCCTGACAGTGACTAAGCGGGCTGCTTTCAGCAGTGAGATCTGTGTATCATGCCAGGCTGGGTGCCTGGACTAAATGAACTTTTGGTTGGGCCCAGCATGACTGTTTTTTGTACAGCGTGGGCTACAGTAACTACGGGAATTTTAGTGAGAAGGTCTGATGAGCAGTAATATAGAGCTTATATTACTTAAGTTGCTTAAAAACATAAGCTAATACTGGGCATTCTGTTGCTATTGAACCTTTTGGGGGAAGAGGGGCATGTAATTGCACAGGAATTTTCCTAGATGCTCAGAGTGAATGTGTGTTCTGTTCTTCACTATGGTTTTCCATTTTTTCCTCCAGTACTTGCCTCTAACACAGAGTTAGTCAGGCAGCCGGTTACAGAATTGGACTTGACAGTCTTCTGGTTTCACAACTGCTCGCAAAACCAAATAGGAATTACATAAAAGCAGTACTAATCAATATCTGAACTACCATTTCACTATGTAGGGATCACAGCAGAAACACAAGAGTTCCTTCACTGGCCAGGGAAGACCATGATTAATGCCAAAAGTTTCTAGAGATAAAAGTTCTGTTTCTGCAGCCATCAATGACACTTAGCAAGGAAGACTTGCTACTGTGACAGCCAGGTGAGCAGACAGACCTTTCCCGTCCTGTCCACAGTTGTGCATTTTATTTAGAAAGAGAACCTTGCCCAGGTTTGTCTCTAGTAAGCTAGTACTCATCAGATCACTAAATCTAATAAGCAGTATTCTTTCACCAGGTAGGTGGACTGATCAGCTCCTGGCGTCCTGCTTCAAAGGCATTTTGTTCTTATTTACTACAAGGGAACATGCTGGACCAGTATACGATTTCCTTAAAGTTCAGCATGACTGACACCCCAAGGCTAGTTCTGTTTCTCCTAAAGCCAGCTGGGTTTTTTGGCTTTGCAGTTCAAAAGAGAATTTCTTGCTGAGTTTCATCTCCGAGGGATGTGTGGCTTAGGAGGACTCTGAGGAGAATGGTAATGAGAAGGTCTGCCCACAAGGCTAGGGTGTTGGCTTAGCGGTCAAGGAACATTTCTGGTTCTACACTTGGATGATGTGGGGCATGTCACTGTGCTCCTGTGCCCCAGTTTTATAAACAACATCCCACCGATTAGCTGGCTAGTCTTTGGGTATGGCAACAAGTACAGGGTTCTTTGCACTTCAGCTTTCAATTCTGCATTGGTGTCCTGTTATACCGTGAATATGTTAGGATTTATGAATGTTTGCAGTGTTGTCACTCTTTCTTGCCTGTTCTGTTCACTAGCCTCTGATAAAAGCTGAGGTACTCTTGTTACCTGTATGCTGCATTTAAAGCTTGTGAGTGTCAAGGGTGGGAAGGAAATGTCCAATGGTTAGATCAGTGTTTTTCCTCACTCGAAAACCTGTAGCTCTAATGGTGGAGTAGTGAGGTTGCTAGAGAAAAGCATGGTTTTCTGAGCCAAAATGAAAGAGTTTAAATTAGAAATGGAGTTTGTGGGGGTTCTTCAAAGACCACAGTACGAAGTTCGTGTCCTGGTTATGCCTTGGAATATTGCTGGAATGCAATCAAATGACTATTATACTTTTCTTGACATTTTTCCATGAACAGCTTTTGAGATTAGCAAACAAATGTATTCCCCCTCCTGCTTTAGACAATGTACTTTGAATGTGGATATAGTAGGTACTTCAGGCATTTATCAGATACACACGTTTTTTGTGTGTAGATGTGAATCTCGTATGAAATTATAGTGCTTGTGCATACTTAAAGGTCTGTTAGTCCACCTGGCTGTTAAACTTGGCTTTTCCTAATGTATTACTGTGTAACACTGAGGAGGAGTGGAAGAAAAGGTTGAAATATGATGGCTTCCTGCAGCAGGTCTTATTGTAATTGCTTTTACATTCTTAACATTTGTAGTGGATCTTTTGCTGCAGCATCTTAGGATTGTACTTAAATCTAAAGAAATACAGGCAAGATCCTCCTGTATCTAATTTAGTTATTTTTACAAGCCCGTATCTATGTAAGTATAAGACATAGATTTGTAAAGCACCTGCCAGATGAGATGAGATGGATGTGACTTTAAGCATAGCTTTCAGTCTAAGCAAAATGCAGCTGAACATACATGATCATACAGAGCTGGGATTCGGTGGTTTCTGAACTGTATAGTGATGAAATGTGGTTTGCTCGAAAGCCGCTATTTGGATCGCACGGCGAACACACCGCAAGACTCTGTGTTCAGGCATTAGCTCTGGACTCCAGAACACCACCATCTACCTCCCTTTTACCATTTCCTAACTGTGGGTTTCCCTGCCTGTGCCAGCCTGCTTGCAGAGGCGTAGCACTGCTGTTCGTAGCATTGTGTCTTTGTCTGCTCCTGGTGTCTTCCTACCTTTACTTTTTCGTTGCTTGTTTGCCTCCCATTCGTCAGGTTTGTGTTTTTGCTTGCTTAAGCCTTTAACGCTTTCACAGCAGGTTGTGGTATGAGGTAAAGGGAAATTTGGTTTTGTCTCTCTTTTTCAATTGTGTGTGAAAGATAGAGGAGTATTTCAGGAGCTCGTCAGTGTTACCTTGCTGCTGCTGCTGCGCCTTAATTGCTAGATGAACTTTCCCATGAAAGGTAGAATATCTCTATGCTTATTCTTTTTCCTGGTGCTCATGCTGGTTTCATTCTGGCAGGCTTGACTTATTGCTGGTTTTGTACTATAGTGCTATAGCAAAAGGAAGTTACAAAAGCACACGGAAGGATGGAAACAAGTTATAAAATTAAACTCCAAATCCTAAATCAAAATGATAGAAGTGCTTTCTGTTCTTTGATTTCCCACCTGCCACTTCTTTGCCCTTATCCCAGTAATGTTAAACATGAGCTTGAAACTATTCTGTTTCATGTACTGTTATATATGTAAAATGTTGGAATTTTTTTAGATCAATTTCAGCTGAAGCAAACAAGAGCCCGCCATCAACTCCTTCCTTCTATATTGCAGGCCCACTCCCCGATGGATGGGAACAAGCTATGACCCAGGATGGAGAAATTTACTACATAAACCATAAGAACAAGACCACATCTTGGCTAGACCCAAGGCTTGACCCACGCTTTGGTAAAAGTTCATCTCACTTCAGAATTTTTGATTCACTTCAGTTCACTCAGCTTTAATTTTGCAGACATATTTTTAAAACTTTTTATAGTACAATTAAAATATATTTTAATTTAAAATATAGAGACCTTATTTAAATCATTAAAAAAAAGAAAAAAGATAGAAAGGATTAGCATATATCCGGTAGGAGCGTATGTCACCAAAGTTTCTAATGCTAGGGGTTGGGATTTTGCCATATGATTTATACCATTCCCAAAATCGGTGGCATTCAGAAATTACTTACCTAGAAACAATTTCAGCCAAGCTCACTCTTCCCTTTAAAATTGCAAAACTTTACCACAGAGGAATTTTTGCATTCCCAAACAATTATTTACTTTCCTTTGCGCTATTCTAAAGAGGGCATTGTCAAATAACAATTTATGCTGTTTACATACACTTGAAACATATACCAGCTTATAATTCCAGCTTGTCACAGTGATGATATGACAAAACTTTGTTTTAAACAATATGGAGAGAAATTATTAGTTTTGTTGTTTCCACTTTAATAATTTTTTGTGGAGTAAAGACTGTGTAATATTGGAAATAGAAATAGTACATTAGGGATCACAAGGTCTAGGCATAAAAATTGAACAAAATAGAACCGATATCTCATTTTTTGTAATGTTTTTGATCTGTATGAAAAGCAGAGATGCACGCATTTAAATAAAATATTTGCACTGATGACTATGAATAGCAATAGCATATAGCAGTAAGAGACTCTAAACTAGTTTGTGAGATTGTCCGAGGGATTGTTCTGATGTACTGAAGATGGTATCACAACTTGAGTTTTTGTATACAGCCATGACTTGTGCATGTAAGCTTCATTAGCTGTATTAATTTGCCCTTGATTTGTTTTCCCAGTAACTTACTATTTTCAGCTCCTTTGGATCTTAGTTATTTTTCTGGAGCCATGGAAAAAACAGTAGGGGTAAAAAAAAGAAGAGATCATTGTGGTTTTCAGGCTTTAGTTTTGGACTCGGTGCAACTAAATGAAAACAGTGTGCAGATCACTGAGTAGGTCAGGCTGAGGGGATACAAAGCCTTTGAAGCTTTACAGGGGTTGACCTAACAACAACTGTGGGCCCCTTTTGGGAGAGGCATTAACTCCATGAATGCCATATAAACACAGAGCTGCAAAACTCAACAGTTCCTGTTCTGTTTTTCTGAAACGGCTGTTAGAAATTTCAGCTTTTTTGTTTTGTAGGCTTTGAGTGCTCACTTTAAACATCCGTTTGTTCTTATCGGGAACACCAGCTTGTCACACTTTGTTTATAAACTGCTCACCAGTTTAAGACAGGTTGAACCACTGTGCAACTTGAGCCCAAAGGTGGGGCGTATATTGAAGGTTGTCAGCTTTGGCAAATGTCCATGCTGGCCTTAACACCAGCCAGAGTTGCAGACCTGTTTGCGTGTTGCAAGAGGAGCGTGTGGGTAATTTGCAACTTCACAATTACTTAATATGTGAATAAGGCTGAAAAGGAAGCAGTCATTTTGAAAATCCGTGTTTCGTTTTGCAGTTAAAAGAGGCAGGTCAATTATATTTATTGAGTAATCTTGCAGGTTATATATTTTTATTTTCTTTGTATTACTTCATAGTTTCCATTGATGAGCTGGAATTAAAAAGGAGTGTGGAAAAGGCTTTAATTGACAGAGGTCGTGAGTGAGATGAATCTTGTTTCTCAGAACTGTTTTGTACTCCTGTAGATAGTATGGTCTAACTGTGAGGGCAAAATCTGCTTGTCTTGTGCATACTGAAACTCCATCAAATGTTAAGGCTGTGCAGTTAAACTGAAAGACGTTAGAAATGTCCAAAAGACTGCATAAGGGTTTCTTGCTGCATAGCTTCCCTTTTTGGGCCCACTGCGTATGTGTATCCCAGACAGGCTTGAGCACATGCCAAGGCTCTTTATTTTGTGGTCGGACTTTTAATCTGTTCCAGACCTTTTCAGTCAAAGAGCTCAAGTGTAACTGAAAGGGGCAGGAAAGGAAAAAAAAGCATGTGGGCTCTTCTGATCTAGAGTGACGGCAAATAGAGACAAGCTGCTAGCTGCTGCTGAGCTTGACTGAAGGAGTTTTCCTTGAAATCCTAACTTGTACACATTGTATTGTGGTTTATGTTTTTATCATTTGAGCCAAGAAAATACAAAATCTCATTCCTGTTGCGTTCTCGCTTGTGACCTCCTTAAGTCATTCCAGTAAAGAAGAAAAAATCTGTTTGACAGAGCTAACTTACTGAGTCTTGCATTTATTTATCGTGTGGAGATCCTCAAAAAATATGTGCTGTGACCCTAAATAGCATGTGAGTGACTCAGAAGTTTACCTTTCTGTGCTTAATGTAGGTTGAAAATCCTGTTGGGTTTTTTCCCCCCATACTCTTTTCTATTGCTGTGCTTTAATGTAAGGGCTTAGTTTTCACTAATGGTTCTTCACAATTTTTTGACTACTAACACTTTCAGAAGCAATCCTAGGTGAATTGGTCTTTGTAATGTTGAAGCTTTTGATTCTCACAGTAATACTGTTGATTGAAAATGAAGGAGAAATTCATGTCTTCCTTGATACTGACGTTTTCACCAGTCTGAAGAACCACTGAAAATGATAAAGCTGTTGAATGGTATGTGCAAACATACTCATCTGTTGCAGTATTCAGAAACAGAAGATTTGAAGAGTCTCTGCCCTTACTGCTTCTGAATTCGCAGCTTCCAGGGAGACAGCCCTTATGGCTCTGTATGTTCCTCATCAGATGGAAGCTTTGCGTTAGTCTATTTTCTCTAGTAGGTGTGCATGTACCTCCTTTTTTGTTTGTTTAAGTAGTGCTGGGATCTTTCCACTAACATGGCTAGAAAAGAGAGAGGAAGGAGCATAAGTTTGAAGAAGTTGTTTTAGGCAGACACACCTACTGACTTACTTGGTAAGGGCAGTTTGGGTATTGCATTCATACTTTTTAACAAGAAAAAAAAAAAAAGGATGCAGTTCATCTGGATTCTTTCTTGGAGCAGGCTTTTAAGACTAATGTATCAGATAAAAGTCCCTGTTAGAATAGCTGGCTGTGGAGTAGGCTGGGTCTAAAACCTGAGTGCTCCAAGTTGAAGGTAAGAAGTTTGTTCCAAGACTCAGATGTAATATCTTAGAAGTGGGTTTGAGGTCTTCAGATACACCACTTAAATGGCAGTGACGTCTCACTGTGGCTCAGATGTTGATCCTCTAAATCTATGTATTTGACTTCAGAATAGCTTTGTGATAGGAGAATACACAAACTTTAAAATCTAGGAAAGAACTAAGTATGAGAGAAGGGTCTTCTCATGCCAAGCACCGGCGATTGTAAAAGATGACATGGGATCAAAGGAGTGGGGATGGGAGGGGAGGGTCCTTAGGCCTGTGTCAGCAGGATTGTCTAGTGGAGCATCTGGTACAAACATGCTGTCCTACCTTCTTAGTAGTGCCTTTGCAGGCCTCATAGTAAGGAGCTTGAAGTTACTTTTTTGTGGTTTTTAGAACGTTACTTGTTTAAGAGAATTGGACTGTCAGGTTGAGCTTGTGTTTTTGACTGTTTTGTCTTTTATTTACTTCTGCTGTTCTCCATTGGTCATTCTTCACAGATCCTACTTTTTCTTAAGCCTTCCGGATAAGTTAATATGCTTTCCTGATAGTCAAAGAACATCTGGGTAGGAAGCAGGTCAGCTCTGCATTCTGAGTGGCTGGAGTTTGTGAAATAGAAGAACATGTGCTTTTTCTATAAAACTAAATTTCCTAGAACCAGTTGAAGTTTGGAATCATTCAACTTTATTGCTACAAGTTTCAACGAATAGGCTTTTGTATCAAATACCATCAAAGGGGTTTTAACTGTTATTAAAGTTTGCAGATGATAGGACTTATTTCTGAAATGCAACTTAAAATAATTTGTCTTTTGAGGATATTTAATTTGTTGAATTCAAAGACAGGACAGTGAACTTTAAGTGGGAGAATACTAGAAACTTGCAGCAGATTTCTGTCTCTCTACTGGGTTAGTGTAAGTCGGTTTCAATGGTAGTACTCCATTAGAGTAGTCAGACAAGTCTGCAGGAGTTGGAGTACAACAAGATACTGTTTCAATTTTCATATTATTTCATTCCAGACTTCAGTTTTATAGGTTTGTTACTAGTGATCATACACATGCCCGGTCTTTTTCCTTCTCTTCTTTCAAATGTTGGAGCTGCCATATGGCGTATGAAGCAGAAGATGTGATCTCAGATTCATTGCCATGACTTTATTTTTGTCAGTCCCACATAGAGATTGTTAATGTTTTTTTAAGTTCCGTGTGAATTTTGGATGAGGGAGAAGGCAAGACAAGACAGTGTTTAATGTCATTATGGAAAGTGCCGTAGGGGTCTGTGTGCAGTAGCTGCTTGAACTACACAAGTAGGAAAAGGAATAAAAGTGACGATAACAGTAGGAGTATAGAGAGAATGCACATCAGGATTTTCTGCTTCCTTTTTTTGTAATGTAAGAACATTATACCTTTGAAGCAATGAAAAGGGCTTGTTCAGAAATATGGAAGTAAAATGCACCTGCAGATTTCACTGAAATGTGTATTTATCATTTCCATTTAAAAAAAAAACAACACAACAAACTTGAAATGCACTTAAAAGCTTGAGCTTCAGAGCATCTGCTAGTTTTTAAGTACCGAAAATTAAAATGAAGTGTTCCACACTTGTTGCTTTCTTATCCCTTACCTGTCTAGCACTTTGTTCAATATGTGTTTCTACAAATTAGTTTGTAGGAGCCTTGCTAGAGTTGGATTTGTGGTCAAAATAGAACTAGAACCCTAGACTAGAGAACTCTTTTTTTTTTTTTTTTTTTTTTTTTTTTTTTTTTTTTTCCTTTTATTAAAAAAAAAAAAAAAAAACAAAGCCCAGACCTTATGTCTGGTCACAGTGATTTTTCAGATTTTTTGTAAGTTCCAGATCAGGCTTCCATTTTTGCATGAG